CCGCCTCGCCGAGGAGCCCCGGTTCAGCGCCCGGGCCGGGGGTGTGCGGGGCGGTGGGCCGAGGACCTGGACGGACCCGCTTGCCCTCTCCGCCTCGGCTGACCCGCGGTGGGTGGCCCTGGGCGTGCGCTGTCGGCGCCTTTGAAGTGGAGGAGGTCATTGATGCGGATTGTATCGTGCGCAGTAGAAGTGACCGGACGCTTGTGGTTCTCCGTGCGGATTCGCTCGCGTTTCATGTGTGCTACGGGGCAGAGTTCTTTAGACCGAGGCTTCCACGGGCTGTGATTTACGTAGCTCCTAATAGACATTGTGCCCTGCAGGAACTGCGCTTTCAAACAAATGACTCGGCTTCTGGAGGGCCGAAGACGATAGAAAGTCTTTACTTTTCCTGCGAATCCGCAAAACTGTAATTTTCTCGTCTAGTGCAGTTTAGCGACTCGTAGACCGAGTAAGTGAGCAGGGGCGGCAAGCCAGGCCCCGCAGGCGCGCTCGCAGCGTTCGAATCTGCGTGCGAACGGGACCCGGAGCTTCATTCCTGCAGCAGGTTACCAGAAAGCGTGATGGGGGAAGTCCGTGTGCTGCCTGTGCTCTTGATTGTTTCTTAACGTCCTTGTCTAGCTCGTGGTGTGCAAAATGAAAAAGGAAATGATGGTTAACTTCACCGTACTGCCCCAGTGTTGCCAGTGACTGAGTTCAATGTTTTTTTTCCCTGGACCACTAACCTTTAAAGTAAATATTTCAGAGATACAATGTTAATGTGGAAATCTCAAGAAACGTAGAATGTAGTCTGAGAGAATAATTAAGTAAAAACAAACTGTGTCTGAGTGTAGTGGCTCACTTCTGTGATCTCAGTACTCTGGAAGGCTGAGGCAGGAGGATTGCAAGTTCCAGCCCAGCCTGGGCAGTTTAGTGACTGGGCACGATCGTATGTCAAAAAAAAAAAAAAAACCAACAACCTGGGTCACCACTGCTAGGATTAAGATTACACTAACTGAATACCGTTCTCTGTGTCCTTTCAGGTAATCATTCTCCTGACTTGAAATTATTCCTTTGTCTTTTCTTTATATTTTTACTATCTGTACACATTTCTGCAACACAGTGTCACTTGTTGGAATAACACCTGGGCAGAATAATGCTATGTTAATTAAGGAAAACTGTGTTTTTTGTTGTTCAATATTATTTGACCAACACCCTTAAAAGCTAGGTGTCTGTTCTGTATTGATGGACACTGAGGGTGGTTCGGTTTGGGGCTATTGAGATTAGTGCCTACATTCTTGTAGTTCTGTGCTGGGTCAGGTACAAGCTCTCCCAAATACATGTCCCTGGGGAACTTGCTGATCCTTAACTTATCTAAATAGAGTTATGCCAGATTTCACCCCCAAATTATTCCAGTATGCCCTCCCAGTAGCAGTGTATGAGAATTCCTGGTTGGGATGGAGATGTAGCTCACTGGTAGAGTGCTTGCCTAGGACGAAATTCCTGGGAATATTAGGCTTTTTAATTTTCAACAACTTGGCGAGTATGTAATACAGCTGTATTGTAGTTCAAGTTTATTGCTTTATTATGAATGTCTGAGGGTTCTGTGATGGAAAGAAGCTTTTTGGACACGAGAATTGTTTTTATATAATGGAGAGACATTTGTTTGTTTTTTGTTTTTTTCCTGTACCAGGAATCGAACTCACAACGTCGCGCTTGCCAGGCAGGCGCTGTGCTGCTGAGCTAAATCCCCAGCCCCTGGAGAGACATTTGTACACACTTGTACTGTAGTTACTTGTGAATAGTAGTAGAGTATTTGACATTTAATTACTATGAAGTTTCATCTGTATTAAGGTAAAGTTTAAAATGGAAAGAACTTTGAGTGAAATTAGTTTTCTGGAATGTCCAAGATTTTGGAAAATACAAGGTTTAATTTTTCTTTAGTCAATTATCTATCACACATGATGGCATTTTCATTATATTGTGAATTATGTTTACTAAACAGTTGTCCTGAAAATCATCTAACTCTAATGATTTTCTTAAACACAGCCGTACACAGCACAAGGAGTGGAGGCGGAGCAGCAGCAAAGCTTGTGAGAGAGCTCTGCAGTATAAGGTGGGGGAGCAGACCCACGGGTTCACCGTAGAGCAGGTACGGGTCTGTCTGGTTTGTAACTTGGGGTAGGTAGCACATGTGGCTTCTGCGGGTGTGTGAAGTCCTTTGGAGGCTTTAGTTCTTACCCTTGCATCCCTGAGCCCTGCCTAGTTCCTGGCTCGTGCGTGGTAGGAGCTCAGCGTCTGCTGATAAAATGATCCCTAGCCCTTACTTAAGGCTCTTAGAGCCTGGTATCTTTTCCAGTTTGGGATGGTGACACTGTGACAGGATCTTGGAGTCAGCGTCAGTGTTTTTGTAGCCAGTCCTGCTGTTTACTCCAGGTGTGATCACAAAAGACTCAGCTCCCTGTGTCTCTCCAGTCAGGTTTTGTTATCAAGTAATTTACTCTAACTTAAGTGGAAATTTTGTTTTCTGAGCCACTTGGGTATCAGAATTTTAAAGAAAATTTTAAAGAAGAAATTCTGGACAAAAATTTACTTGGCTGTGTCAAAAGAGCTTGTACTGTTTTTTTTTTTATTTTTTAAATTTTTTTTATTCTTAAACCTTTCACATTGCTTGTTAACTCAGGGTAATGATTGAGGAGTATGTGCTTCCAGGGTTTGGTTGTGGGTTTTGTGCTGTGCTTAATGCTACACCAAGTATAAGGACAAATAGCTTAGAATGTGCACAGCCTCATACGCAGCTGTAACACAAGGCACGGCATGAAGACTGTCGTGCGGAAATACCATGGGCAGAGGGAGGAGAGGGAGAGAGTTCTGTTGCTGGGGGGAGGGAAGGGCTTGTGGCGAAGGCCATGCATCTCTAAGCGGGACAGGAGTAAGGCCAGTGACGCAGGGCGACCCAGCCGGAGTTCAGGAGCACTGAGTCATGAAAACAGCGTCAGAGTATTTGTAAAGTGCCTTGAAAGCCATGCAGAGAAGCTTGGATTTATAACACAAGTTACTGCTAATAAGGACCTTATTCAGTATGGTAAATTCTTTTCAACCATCCATCCTTCATTTATTGGTGATACTGGGATTTGAACCCAGGCTCCTCCCAGGGAATTACATCCCTAGCCCTTTGTATTTTTTGTCACTTGAGATGGGGGGGAGGAGGTCTCATTAAGTTGCTTTGCCTCTCAAGAGTTGTTCTTATTTTTCAATTTTTTTTTTTTTTTTTTTCTGGTACCGGGAATCAAACTCACGACCTTGCGCTTGCCAGGTAGGCGCTGTGCCGCTGAGCTAAAGCCCCAGCCCCTATTTTTCAAATTTTAAAAAACTTACGAGTCTTGCTTTGAGAAAGCAAGCTTTCAGTAGGCAGACATCTCACTGCACCTACTGATTTTAAGTATATTGATCAATTATGTAAAGTACAGTGAACTTGGAAGCACAAGCACTTTACCATTATGTAGGTGTCACCGGACCACATTGTGTGTGTCTTCCGTGTGGCGGACCTCTGCCTTGGGATCGTGAGACTCGAGTTCTAATCATTCATATGCCAGTAATTCAGTGGAAGAATGAGCAGGTTACTTTCAGGGCCCGTGAAAAGGGGCTGATTAAATGGTGTGGTTGTCACAGCGGTGTGGTAGGTGATTGAAAGGAGAGAAGGCCAGCTGGCAGCGTTGGAAGACAGGGCACTTTCTTTAATACCAAGGGCTGTGGACACTTAATACGGGAGACCTAAGTAGATTAACAAATGATTGTCTCTTCTTCTGCTGACTTCTTCAGGGAATGAAGATTCATTCATTCTTATTAAGGGCGTTTAAACCCCTCTGGCTCTTCCTAGCATTATGAAGGACCTTGCTATGTTTATGATGATCCTTCCACTGGGGACAAGTAGCGGGTACCCAGCTTAGCCCTGAGAACCATTTTCAAAGAGGTGAAGCAGTTTATTTCCAGAATCATCCTCCTCCTCCTGCAGATGAAAGCCCGTTTCTGCATTTATCTTACACAACCATTCTGAAAATCGAGTGAGATGTAAGAGCCGGCGACACAGCAGAGGAGCAAAGGGCAGCCGTTACTGTTCAAGCGGGACGTAGTGTAGTGGAAAGGGCGCGGACGCCAGAAGTGTGGTCCTGTTTATTGCATTGCTCTGAACCTTGTTTTTTTTTTATTATTTTATTTTATTTTTTGTACTTTTGAGACAGGGTCTTGCTCTGTAGAGGCTGGCCTTGAACTCACAACAATCCTTTTGCCTCAGCCTTCTGAGTGCTGGAATTACAGGCGTGCGCCACCATGCCCATCTGAACTTCAGTTTTTTAAATCTGTAAATAAGGATGAAAATGTATGTCTCACAGGGTTGTATGTGATGTATTTAGAAATAGCGAACAAGTAGTAATACTGGAAAAAAAGGCATATCATTTATCAGCCTTTTAAAAATTCTTAATATCCTCACTCGTAAGGTCAGGGGTATGGACAAGTTGCTTGGTCTGAAATGCTGGCTCTAGGTCTGAAATGCTGGCTCCCTGGTGTCATTTAACTTATGGCAGAAATGCCAGTTGTGTCAGTGCATTGAAGGTAGTTATTCTGCCTAAGTTTAGCTGCTGACACATTTCCTCTTCCCTCAGGTAACGTCTGTCCCTGAACTGTTGCTAACCGCAGTGAAGCTCAGCCATGACGGCACAGGAGCCAGGTACCTACACCTGGCAAGGGAAGACACAAACAACTTGTTCAGGTGTGTGCTGTAGAGTAAAAACGGATTCTTGGGTGTCTCTGTTTAAAACGTTTATATTGCCCTGCACTCAGGAGGCTGAGGCAGGAGGATTGTTGCAAGTTAGAGACCAGCCTGGGCTACAAAGTGAGCTCAAGGCCAGCCTGAACTCTACAGCGAGACCCTGTCTCAAAAAGACCAAAAAATAATAAAAATAAAAATAAAAATAAAAAATAAATAAAACATCTACGTTTGGTGTCTAAACTAATATCTCAACATTTTATTTTTATTGACAGAGTATCCTGAAAAGGTAAAACAGATATAAATTCATATCCTTACCTAAATACTATACTATTGTAATCAATCTTATAGTCTGAGTCAGTGATTTCATGTTATATTCAGAAGACATTTCATTTAAAGATTGTGATGCTAAGATGATTATTATGATTGTTTTTAATCCCAGGTAGTCACATGTTTAGGAATTCTGTTGGGCAGTACTAAGGGTGACCTTTCCCACTGAATTTATCCCTTTCTCTTTTCCTCAGCGTACAGTTCCGCACTACTCCAATGGATAGTACTGGAGTCCCACATATTCTTGAGCACACGGTCCTTTGTGGTTCTCAGAAATACCCATGTAGAGATCCTTTCTTCAAAATGTTAAATAGGTCATTATCCACTTTTATGAATGCCTTTACAGGTAAGACGTACATCCTAAACTGAGAGTACCCTTGGGTTTGCCAGACACAAGCACTGAATTCAGTTACTTGCTAAGAAAAAAGAGGGTAGGGGGCTGGGGATTTAGCTCAGCGGCAAAGTGCCTGCCTGGCAAGTGCAAGGTCGTGAGTTCGGTTCCCGGTACCGGAAAAAAAACCAAAAAAAAAAAAAAAAAAGAGGGTAGTTGGCAATTAATCAATACACTGGAGTAAATCACCAGTGTCTAGTACGGTGAAAGATGTTAGAAATGTAATCCTTTAGGGCAGGCCACATTGTGGTCAGATTATCAAAACTGGAGTTTCAGAAAAAAGGTATGTGAGTTCTTTCTGTAAATTTCCAAATCACTTTCTTTGGGGACTATTGTTGCCACATTAGGAGTCTGTACTTTAGGTTAGTGCTAGTGGTGTCTGACTTGACGTCTAATACCTCTGAGGATGGTGCAGGGGCTAATGAAGGACGTTCTGTGGGGGATTGAGGGTAGGGCTGATCCAAATCAGAGTCGCACAGAAGGAGGTTATCTTTCCAAGTGTGTGAAAATCCCTCTAACGGGGCTTGAACTGTGTAAAAATTACTGACGCAGTAGTGTTGGTGCCCGTTGAGGGAAGACCTCGGGTTGTGTCCGGGGAAGTTGAGGCTCAGAGTGGGGAGTGTGGTGCCAGAGCATGGGGTTGCTGCTGCTTGCTTTACATTGGGCTAAAACTAACGTGGGGAAGTGAGCCTTGAAAGCACACGATTTTTGTAAGACTCTTGTATTTTAAAAAATCTTACTTTTCGTTTGTACCCAGCCAGTGATTATACTCTGTATCCATTTTCCACGCAAAATGCCAAGGATTTTCAGAATCTCCTCTCCGTGTATTTGGATGCAACCTTTTTCCCATGCTTGCGGGAACTAGATTTCTGGTATGTAATGATTAATTGATTTCGGCTTTAGCATTAGACTCACTATCACCTTTCATGTATTTATTTTTTATTTACCATTATTCAGGCAGGAAGGGTGGCGGCTAGAACATGCGAATCCCAGCGACCCCCAGACGCCCTTGACCTTTAAAGGCGTGGTCTTTAATGAGATGAAGGGGGCGTTTGTAAGTATTTCTCCTTTCTTCTATTAAAATTATCTTGATCTGTGTAAAATTTTGAAGTAGAGACGTGTAGAAGGTAGTTAGTATGTAATTACCCCATCGAACAGTACTTTCACGAGGTAATGGCTTCCTCCATTAAGGGGGCCAGTGCTCTGAGCAGAGCCCCCCCATGATGGAAGGCCCGGGCCCCGTCCTGTGTCCTCCTGACTTTCCAGGCCTGTGCTGGTCGCTCCGGGTCTCCGTGTTGTACTGCGCAAGCTCGTGTACTTCATGCTGCTCTCTGATTTTTGTGGCCTCTTTCATCTGGCAAACTCTTAAAGTCCATGTAGGAACTGTTTCTCCCCAAGAGAACTTTCTGAGACTCAAGGCCAGGTGGCTGCTGGACACCTGGAGTCCTAGCACGCTCATCGTTATTTCACCAAGCTTTCCTCCGTGACCGAAGCTGTGAAGTTGTTCGCTCAGTGCATATTGAGAAGTGAATTTCTCTTCTCTTAGGAGAGAGCGAGTTCTTTGGTCCCCTGTACAGATCATGAGTAAATTATTTATTTATTTATTTTTGTTTTCACAGTCCAGTATATGATTGTTAAAAGCAAACCTCAAGCCTGGTTGTTTCTTTCTAATCTCAGTGAGTTAGAGTGAATCATGTGGATAGGGAGAACGGTCACGAAGTCTTGAGTAGCAGGAGGGGAAGTATTACAACAGTTGGGTTCTGTCCCTTTGTCTCAGGAGATAATAGTCACAAAGAGAAAATTGACCTCAGGTTGGAGGATTGGGTAAGGAGAGCCGGTGATGTGGGGAAGGGTAGTGCAGGATCTTGAATGCTCCTTTAAACAGTACCTCCCTTGATGGCCTTGATTGCCATTAGAGCAGTTTTACTTACAGGTGTTAGAGATAGCTGGTCCAGAATATGATTAATTTATGTATTGTAACATGCTGTGTGTTTTAGTTACTTCTCCTGTTGCTGAGGCAAAATACTCAGCATCCAGAATTAAAGGAGGAAGGTTGATTTTGGTTCGTAGTCTGTAGGGGTTTCCGCACGTAGTCAGCTGGCTCCATGGCACAGGGGCATGACAGAGGAGAAACAGTAGAAGCAGGGCCAGTGGAAGGTGCAAAGCAGCAAAGCTGCAGGCCGTAGAAACAGCAGCAGCAGCAGCAGCGGCGGCTGCCCTGTTACTCCTTCCAGGCTACCCACCATTTGAGTGGTGCCACCTACACTCAGCGGGCATCCTTAATCCCAGCATCACTCACCCTAGATCCAGCCGCCTCTGTAAAGCCCCACCTATGAGCACGTTAGGCTGTGAGGGGGCATCGAGAGACAAGCCATGACACCACGTTTCATAGTCACATCTTGTGTCACGACTATTTTACATACCCTAACCCTAACTCTTGCTCTTTTTTTGATTTCAAGTCAGACAATGAGAGGATATTCTCACAGAACCTTCAGAACAAACTTCTTCCTGACCATACATATTCCGTGATCTCCGGAGGTGATCCGCTGTGCATCCCAGAGCTCACGTGGGAACAGCTTAAACAGTTCCATGCTACCCATTATCACCCAAGTAATGCTAGGTAATACTTGATTTTAAAGGCTTAAAGGTGGGTTAAGAATTGACTTACTTGTAGTCTTACACTAAGTGACATGGCTTTTCTCACATTTTGCAAGTAAGTGTTTGCTTCAGAACTATAGAAATCTCGATAAGATTCTTAAGTTTGCCTCTCTGCTTTACTTGAATGCTGATTCCAGTGATGACTGTCAGCTGCTGCAGCATGAAGGGTACAAATAGCCTTTGGCGTCACCCTTAGTAGAGAGTCCAAGTCCCTCAGCCTGGCATCTTTGTCCTGGTTTCATGACGTGTGGAATGGAAATGCTCACGATGGCATCCCCCTTGTAGGACCAATTTTCACGGTGCCTGTAAAGCTTGAAGGTCTGCTCTTGGCACAGAGGTTCTTTATAAATGATGGGTGTCATAATTGAATCTTACATACTTACTTTTAGATAAATTGTACATGAAATTATTAGTGATATATTAAATCAAGTACTAATTTAAAATCATACTTGCAAATTATTTTTGGTAAAAAGTTAAAAATTTGAATTATGAAAATTCTTTTTATTATTTTAAAGAGTGAAAGAAGAATAACATAGTAATGGGGCTTACTGAATTACAGACAAAGTGGTAGGAAATTATCAGTGGTTGTTGTTTTACATATTGTTATCTACAGGATAGTTTCTGAGGAAAGCAAATAGGCAAATAATAGTGAGTTACAGACAAAAGTGGTAGATTATCAATGGTTGTACTATACTTTGGTATCTTCAAAATGGTTTCTAAAGAAAATAAATAGAGCTATACATGAGTGACCAATTGAATAATCATTGACTATTCTCAATGGTTGTTGTAGGAAACACATAGTAATAAACATACAACCATTTATGAAATAGCATAGGAACAATACAAACATTACAGAGTTATGGACAGTTTAGTAGGAAAATATCAATGGCTGCTGTAATACATGGTGGTATCTTCAAAGTGGTTTCTCAGGAAGACAGATATGCAAAAAAGATCTAACAAGTAGTTACAGCCTAAGGGTTGTGAAAAATAGCATATTACCACCTCACCAGTGACTCACTGAGGTGTGGCGGTTGGAAGGAAGGCCAGGATTGAAAAGAAGGACCAAGAGACTTGCACCTGTGTCTAGCAACAGGCTGTTTTTCTTTTTCCTCTGTAGTCATGATTACCTGGGGCTCCTCCATGGAGATGACAGTCTGGCCCGAGGGAGAAGGCAGAGTATGCCCCGGGCCCCCTCATTCCTGTTAGACTAACTGGTAGGATGGGTCTGAGCTCTGGGGCCTCCCCTTCAGAGGGCAGACCGATCTCCAGTGGTCTCCTTTGCATTCAGGGCATGGCCCAGGGGGCTTCTGAGGGCAGTTCCTCTTGAGGTGGCCTGGCTTTTAACAGTGGTAGCAGATGAATGTAGTCGACGAGTTCTTCTTGGGGCCCCGAGAATCAGACTTAGGGTCTGTTTCTCTTAGTGGTGCAGCAAAAGCAGCTGCTTTTTCTTGGTCTCTTTGTTTTCTCTCCTTGGCCGCCTCCTTGTCATGGCTATAGAATACTGAGGAGGCAGTTCTTACTAATATCTCAAGTGAGCCATCTGGGGTGAAAACCATTCTTTGTAGCTTTTTCTCTCCAGCCTCCCAGCACACTGGGACCCCACAACCAGTTAGTGTCCTCTCCCCAACTGTCAGCACAGGCAGCAGGAATCTCGGTGCAGACCTCTCCAGAGCTCCACCACAGCCTGTACTGTCAGGGGAAGAATGGCTTCCAGGTGGTCTCCCCAGGTATTGCGCAAGGTCCTCCTGGTTTCCAGCTTCCGAACGGCCCTCATGACACTAGACTTATGACTCTTCAGGCTTAGTCAACATTCTCATGTTCTCTGAGTCCTTATTTAGCAGCTGCTCCTCTGCTGACTCTGGACCTTTCTGGTTCTCAACAGTAGGGGCAAGAATGACCCATTGTGTGGCGTGTATTCCCAGGGGTTTCTCCATGTTGGGATGATTCATGCATGGTCCGGGTGGGCCTCTGCAGCTGGCGCGTGGTGGGCCAATTGTGTCATTGCTTCTCTGTGCCATGATAGTTTTTGACTGTGCGGTGGTGGCTGGCGCACCGCCACACAGCTTCCCAGGCAATGGTGGCCCACCTCCTGGGTGCCTGTGCGGCTTGGGCCCAGCCCAAAGGCCCGAATTATGAAAATTCTTAAGCTCATAGAAAAAAGTAGATTGGAATCTTGAATCCATACACACATATCACATACTGTGCTGACAGTTCTGAAGTAAATTATAGACCTGATTGCTTATCACTAGCTTTGTGACCCTAAAATATGTCTTTTCTTTAATAAGAAAATTCATTAAATTAAATTTTGTTAAATATTTCTTACTCTATATTCAGAATATCCCGTTGTTGCCGAATGTGTGTTCGTCCCAAACGAGCCCACACGTGGCGTGTTGCCGTTCAGCGGGTCCCGGGCATCCTGTGTGGACAGCGGCGGGGCCATCAGGCCAGGCCTTCTCTGGACACTCTCTCACTTTCTAGCGTGTCTGGCTGGCTCGTGTGCTGTTGTTGACTTGTCCCTGAATTTACTTTTTTTTTTTTGGTCTTTTTGAGACAAGGTCTTGTGGTGCAGTTCAGACGGGCTGTGAGCTCGCTTTGTAGCCCAGGCTGGTCTTGAATTCACAACAGTTGTTCTGCCTCAGCCTCCCGAGTGCTGGGATTATGGAGTGCACCACCTGAATTTTCAAGAAGTAGAACTTGGGTCCAGTGACTTGGTTGGAGTCAGGTGGACCCTTCATAGGTGACTCTGTGTCCCCTGCCGGACCCCACTGGGCACTGTGGCGCCTGTTCAGCAACAGTGGGAATGCTAAACTCCGCAGGTGAGGCTGGTGGCAGCAGCCTCCTCGCTGGGAGGTGCTCTTGCCCCTCTGCTCAGGGGCCGTCTGCCGCGTGGAGAGGCTGGCACCTGGGAGTACTGGCCCAGTGCCCCATCATCCTGTTGATGATTGTTGCCTGAGTACATTATTTGACTGCAGTTCACTAAGTTTTCTCGTCCTGTAACTTCTACATTTATTACTAGACTTGTGCAAAGCAGAGCCCCGCTCACCAGCGAGGTCTGTTGGAGTACCCTGAAGTGTAGTTTGAGGGGAGAGGCGGGGGGCTGTTTTCCAGTTTGAGTGAGAGAGATGATGGCTTTGGCTCCCTCCAGTGATGACAAAAGAGCCTTCTTCTGGTCTCTCTTTTTTCCTGTCTTGCTGCTGTCCTTGTTTTGGTTTGTTGCTTAGTACCGCTGTGACCTCATGGAAATATTTTTATATGTGTATGTATTTGAGGTTGTATGAGCAAATGGAATCCAGTTACTATTTGACCCTTGAAGTGTTCCAGCTGTGGCCCATGGAAGTTCCTCTCTGATCGTTCCTTAGTCTTTGTTGAGTTGTTTGGTTTCTACCTCTTCCTCCCACCCATGGCTGCCCAGGTTCTTACTGCTGTGGGTCTTCAGCTGATCTTATCCTCCCCTGAGTTCTGTGATTAAGTGGGGAGGGCATTGAGGACCAGCGTCTGAATGCCAGGGGTGCTGATTGCTACTGGGTTACTCAAACCTTTGGGTGTAAAATTTGTTCCTAAGTATCTGAGTATAAAATTTTTAAAAGATCTTTAATACGATAGTTCCTCAAATCTTAACCTTAGCTCAGATAAGTTAATACTACAGAGAAAGATCAAGTCTGTTTTGTAAGCTTTTCCTCCGGTTAAATAATTCTTAAAAACATACATAATTTGAAATTTGCATCCTAAAATTGAATTTTAGGAGATTCTTTTGTCAGTCTTAGATGGATTACTTTACTACTATAGTTTGGGTGTAATTTAACAAATAGGTTATGTAATTTTTGTAGTACTTTCATAGCAGACTTAAAATAAGACAGAAAATCCATTTTTGTTGGATTTGCATTTAATTAAGTCATTTTGCATGACTTGTAATTTGTTTGAACCCCTTATCCCATCAAAGGTGATAGCTTCCTTTTGGTGTTTGTTGGGAGGGACTGGCTGTGTGCTGTGAATCGTTCCTTCGTGCAAAACCCATCACTGTGATTTTCTAATCATTTATACTGAAATGACTGACATATTCCCTCAAAACTTCAGGTTCTTCACTTACGGGAATTTTGAATTAGAACAGCACTTGAGGCAAATACAGGAAGAAGCGCTGAGTAAATTTCAGAAAATTGAACCAAATACCATGGTGCCGGCCCAGCGGCTCTGGGATCAGCCTGTAAGTGTCCCGCCCAGTCTTCACGTGTGTTTTTATCCTGCCTGTTACATACGCTGAAGTGAGGGCTTGAGCTGTGCACTGACAGGATTCTGAGATGCTGTGGGCTGTAGTGTAGGTGGGAGCTTTCCAAGACTAAAGAATGGCCATTTGTTTCAGAAAAGGTTAACTTAGTGAGAACATATCTTGGGTCGCTTTCTGTATCTGGGTAACCTATGGCAATGTAAAGCCACTCAGACTGTCTACTTAGAGCATCCTGTCATTTTACAGAGGGAATTCCACATAACTTGTGGCCCGGACTCGTTGGCTACAGATGCCTCTAAACAGACAACTGTCAGTGTCAGCTTCCTCCTACCAGAGTGAGTATGCTCTGTGATTGTTCATACGTGCCACAGAACGGTAGGAAAATAATTAGAAGGTTAGGAGAATTTGATCGAGTATAAATTAATGTACAGTTAAGATTGTGGACTCAAGCTGAGTTTAAGAACGGAGAACAATGGCCAGGGATACAGCTCAGTGGCACAGCGCCTGCCTGGCAAGCTCGGGGTCCCGAGTTTGATTCCTGGTACAAAAAAAAAAAAAGAACAGAATGTCTAGAGTTTTAATTACATCAGAAATGGGTATGGGGGAGTCATTTTTGGCAGCCATCCAGAAGAAAAGTCCTTTGCATTTTTAAACTTTAAAAGCTCCATTCCTTCGGAGAAAAGGTTGCCCTAGAACAGCAATTGTTAACATTCCAGTGGTCACAAGTCCCTTTGAGTGTAACATAACTACTTTGAACGCTAGACTCAGAAAATTATACCACTCAGGAAACTGAAATTCTAGACTTGGTAGCAACTGGGTCCGAACTCAGGAGTGACGAGAAGACGTGTTGGTTCTGCCCGCGCCGCTGAGCTCAGGCTGCCGCGGGGGAGCTGTGCGCCTTGGACTTGTCACTCTTCATCTTTTGCTTCTTGTCTACTTTATGTGTTGGTGATGATGTTTAACTGTAATTGAAACATATGGGAAAGAACTTGGCACACTTTTACATAGCGAATATTTGATGTGCAGTGAGAGTACAATATATGGTTTGGATTTAAAAAAACCCAGTGTGGTGCTCTCTTCAGCGGTGCAGGTACGAAAATTGAAATGTTGTGGAGATTAGTATGGCCCGTGTGCAAGGATGACACGCAAATTCATGAAAAAACCCCCAGTGTGTTAAATAAAGTGTTCTCTTTTCTCCATATCGTTACTCAAATGCAAGAATTTCTAGTGGAACTTCAGCTTGTTTATTTAGTAGTGATTTTAAATGATACAAAAACCAGAACAGCCAATGATTCTCCCTTTGTCCTTGTTTTTTTCCAATGAAGTATCACCGACACATTTGAAGCCTTCACGTTAAATCTTCTGTCTTCACTCCTGATTACCGGGCCCAATTCCCCTTTTTACAAGGCCTTGATTGAGTCTGGACTTGGCGCAGATTTTTCTCCTGATGCTGGGTGAGTTTCGTTAGATCACTTGTCAGCGGGGGCCGCTTTGCTGTCTCCTGTGGGACGCTTGTTACAGCTGGGACATCTCTGGTTGTTACAGTGGAGGCGGTGCTGTTGGGGTGTAGTCAGTGGGGGCCGGGGAAGCCACCCTCCCCCGGGAGCGCTGAGTTAGGTCATGGTTCCAGGGACCTCGGGTAAAAAAAACCAAAATAACTTTCCCAAGTTTGTGGATATTATACTGCTCCCTATGTAAAAATTCACATCGTTAAGTGGCCTTTGAAATCTTAAACGTTTTGTGAAACTCAGCAGTTCTCAATTTCTGGGTTTGTGTTGCTGTAAGAAATTGTGCATTAATATTTAGAAATATTGGGGCTGGGGATTTAGCTCAGCGGCAAAAGCGCCTGCGTGGCAAGCGCAAGGTCGTGAGTTCGGTTCCTGGTACCAGAGAAAAACCAAAAAAAAAAAAAAAAGTTTATATTTAGAAATATTTGAAATCACCTGAATGTCTTTTTTCCTTATTGTGTCTGAGAAGTGAGTATCTGAGAACGCTGTGGAACTTTTTAAAGCAGGAATCTGGAATTCAAAGTTCTTGGGTAGTTCTGATGTTTCTTTTAAGTTTATTGACACATTTTAGGTACACATAATGATTGCATTTATCATAAGGAGTTTGTACCTGTACACGATACAACTTGATTCTTTTTTTTCCCATTCCCCTACCTGCCCTTCAACCCCTCTTCTGATCTTGAAATAAAGTTAGCACAGGTGAGTGGTAAACGTACATGGACTCTAATGCATTAACTGTTTCGTTTTCTAGATACAATGGCAACACCCGTGAGGCCTACTTCAGCGTTGGCCTCCAAGGGCTTGCTGAGGAGGATGTGCAGACTGTCAGAGACCTTGTAGAAAGGACGATTGATGAAGTAGTTGAGTAAGTGAGGCTCCTTTGTAAGGGCTTGCTTCCTTCCTTCCTTCAGGAGTGCTCCAGAGGGAAGACTCAGTGGACCTTGTATAGTTTGCCCTGTATGTAATGGAACACATACTAGTTCATGTTTAGTTGTTTAAACATTATCTGTGCTACTTTGTGCTTCTAAAATGTTTTATTTCTTTTCAACATCTCAGTTATAAATTGTGTTCTTTAGGAAAGGGTTTGAAAATGAACAAATTGAAGCTTTACTTCATAAAATTGAAATACAAATGAAGCATCAGACTACCAACTTTGGACTTGCCCTGACTTCGGTAGGTGCCTTCTCAGCTGCCTTGGTTATGGATCTTTTTCACTTTTATAATGAGTGGTTCTTAGCAGCGCTGAAAATGCAGACTGGTATTGGTAGTGCTTTTCATTGAGGATGAGAGATACACTGTTTTGGATCAGATAGAAATTTACTTTTACAATGTATGTGTATCTTTTGATTTTTTGATATCTTATGTTTTTATGTGAAATAGGTTCATACAGGATAATGGATGTTTATGATAACTAGCAATCTACTGGTAATTACATTTTCTAGAACTTACTGATTGATTAATTGATTGATTGTCTTTTTGAGACAGGGTCTTGTTCAGACTGGCCTTGAGCTCACTTTGTAGCCCAGACTGGTCTTGAACTTGCAACGATTCTCCTGCCTCAGCCTCCCAAGTGCTGGGATTGCAGGTGTGTGCCACCACGCCTGGTCTAGAAATAATTCAAACTTGTGCTTTTGATTTTATTGGAACAAAGTAGGATTCAAATGAATTCTTCTTCCAACCAAATAACAACTTAATTTTTAATTTTTTTTTTTCCCGGTACTGGGAATCGAACTCACGACCTTGCAACTTAATTTTTAATACATAATTGTTTATAATATTTTAAGATACAGAATCTAGGATCTTTGTGGGTTTTTTTTTTTTTTTTTTTTTTTTTTGAGATAGCATCTGGCCATTGTAGTTCAGGCAGGCCTTGAACTCATAGTGATCCTTCTGCCTCAGCCTCCTGAGTGCTGGGATAATAGGTGTGTGCCACTGTGCTTGGCAGAATCTAGACTTTTGATAAAATATTATCCCTCTGACGTTTATTGGAGTACTGTAGTATTTAGGGGATAGCCAGTGTATGTGATTTTTTTGGGGGTGGGTACTGGGAATCGAACTCAGGACCTTGTAGTTGCTAGGCAGGCGCTTGTGCCACTGAGCTGTATCCTCAGCCCCTAGTGTATGTGATGTAAGAGGCATTAACGCTTTCAAATTCTTCTTCCTAGTACATAGCTTCTTGCTGGAATCATGATGGGGACCCTGTGGAGCTCTTGCAGATGGGAGGTCAGTTAGCTAAATTCAGGCAGTGTCTTAAGGAAAATCCAAAGTTTTTACAAGAAAAAATAAAACAGTACTTTAAGGTAAGAAAATTGGAGCATTTATGTCTTCACTTTAATGTTGGATTTCAAATGATTGAAAGTAACATTAGGAACTTTATGTAAATCAATTTCTGTTAATAAATGGATGACATAATTTTTTTAAAAAATTGGTTTTTGGTACATTATTGGGACCACACCCAGGGCCTTTGCACTGTGCTGTCGCCTCAGCTCTTTTGAAGGTTTTAAATTTTGAGACAGTCTTGCTAAGTTGCCCAGGCTGCACGCAAACCTCTGACGCTCCGCCTCCTCTTGCCTCAGCCTCCCAGAGTGTCTGTGCCACGACAACTGGGGCTTCAATTTCTTTCTTTCTTTCTTTCTTTTTTTTTTTTTGAGACAAGTTATTTTTATGTTTCCCTGGCTGGGCTCAAACTTGAGGCAATTCTCCTGCTTCAGCTTCCCAAATGCTGGAATTACAGGCATGCTGTATCCAGTTTAAATTTGTAACTAAAAATTCAAATGCTTGCATTAATGACTGCTGTTGTTCACCATGTCATATTAGTTGGTGATTCGTTTTTGAGCGTACGCATTTTTATATGATTGAGGTCTTGTGGGGCTTGTTCACTTATTTTCTTAGCTATCCAGGCATTGTGCTTGGATGTAGTATTTCCTATTACATAGTCATTAAGAAGGTAGCACTCTTTTAAAGGTATTACCGGTAAACTACATTAGCTGTTTTTAAAATGTGCCATTGTTTTGTACATGGGACATGATTTAGTGACTTCACCTGGTACAGTTTCTCTCTGTAGTAAGTTTTTGTTCTGCTCTAACAAAAACTTGGCCATCCCTGGCCCTCCTTCCTCTCTGTAGCATCACAAGTGAGCATTTTGTGTATGTGTTTTAGCTGGTGAAATAAAGAAGCAAGTTAAATCACCTAACATTGATTCATACATTAGATCAATATCTGCTTTGTTCTAATAATTTACAAAGTATTAAATAAAAATTTTAGTTTCAGCCTTTTAGAAGTTAATAATATAATGATAGGTACTTAAGTTAGAATTCTGTTATCTTTATTTTATTTTATTTTTTTTTTGGTTACTGGGAATCGAACTCACGACCTCGTGCTTACCGGGTAGGCGCTGTGCCGCTGAGCTACATCCCTGGCCCTCAATTGTCTTTTATTTAGACTAAAATTAAAGATTTATACTAAAAGGGGTAAATATATCAAGATGTAAAGAAAATGTTGACTATTGATATATTCATAGGTAAGACATAGTGACTAAGTAATTCTAATTCTAACAACAGTAAAGCACCAGCCCTTGAGGTAAGTTTATTTCTGTGTTAAAAATGGTTAAATGGAGCTACAGTACTAAGAACACATCTGTAGAGGCTGATTTGGTGTGTTGCTTCAATAAAATCTTTTTTAACCTTTTTGGTTGCTGTGTTATTGCAGAATAATCAGCATAAACTCACTTTATCAATGAAGCCAGATGACAAGTATTATGAGAAACAGTCTCAAATGGAGACAGAAAAGCTGGACCGAAAGATCAATTCTCTCTCTCCAGAAGACAAGCAACAGATCTATGAAAAAGGTCAGGTATTTAATTTGATTCTTAATAATTCCCTGCTGCTCATTCAGACCTAGTGAACTTTTTATTTTTAGTTAATAGTTGAAGGCAAGTCTTAGTTCAGAGTACTAATATTTACTGGGTATATGCAAAGTTCATTTTTGGTGCAGTGGGTTCATTTTTTTTTTTTGCTACTGGGAATCAAACTCACGACCTCGCACTTGCCAGGCAGGTTCTGTGCCACTGAGCTACATCCCCAGCCCGGTGCAGTGGGTTCAGCAATGAGATTCGACCCTATTAGAAAAGTCCCATTGTAGTTCATGTGGAAAGCCAGGAATAACTAAAAAGAAGAAGCTTTGTGAAATTTAATTCATTTTACAGATTTTATAAATACTTTCCATACACTTCTATAATATGGCAAGAAACTTACGTTACGTGGTAGTACATAGTTAATTGCTAGACAGCCTGTATAAGCAGGATAAGTTATATTCTCAGAAAAGCATGTTCCAGTGAGAGCATGAAGGGCCATGCTAGCTGTGAAGCACAGCAGGATGTGTGCAGGCTGTGCCTGGTGAAGACGGAGGAGCGGAGGGGTGGGTGAGGGTAGAGCACAGTGCGAAGGGTCCGACACCAGAAGGAGAGGCCCTGGGGAGAGCAGTTGGAGGGGGACTGGACCAGAAACTGGTGAGTGCGTGTACCTCACTTACGGAGTCATAAGAATCAGGGAGTTAGTGAACAGAGGAAGGGTGGCGTCCTCAGGGTAATTTGGGGGAACAAACAGGGGAGTAAGCTGTTGAAAGGCAGTTAGACACCTATGCGTGCTGAGATGTGATGTGATGTGGTACCTACGTGTGCAGCTAAGGTGGCTGAGATGGGAGTGGAGAGAGCCGGATCTGGGAGACTCTGCAGAGGATGGTGGGTTAGCCAGGGTTAGGAAAGGGATGTGGTAAATGTAAAGGAGGAATTTAAATAAATTTTTAATCAAGGACAGTCTGGGCTCTGCAGGAAAACATTTGTAAAATATATCGATAACTTAATTAGAAATGTAGCCATAATACATTAAAAATTTTAAACAAGTCAATGAGACAATGCAGCCTAGTTAAAAAATGGGCCAAAGATTTTGACACATATATTACTAAAAAAGATATAGCATTGGAAAATAAACAAATTGTTATCATGTGGGAAATAATCTCATTTTCTTAGGAAAATGCATTATTTATTAGAAAATTGCAAATTAACACCTACTTCAATAGGTCAGATAAAAAAATACCATGAATGCCCAATGCAATCAGTTACGTGAAGCGGTGGGACTCCCGTGCTGCTGCTGGAGAAAGCGCGCGTACCGCCACCCAGAAAAGCAGCTGTACAGTTTCTCGCTGCAGTGAGCATGTGCTCATGTACAGCCCGCTATCCCGCCACTGAGTGAGGCCCGCAAGCAGTGAGAATATGTCCACACAGAACTTGGAACCACCCAGATTCCCACCAACATGTGTATCCCTTGTCCCCCCCCACCGTACTGTTCAACCATAAAAGGGAACAAAATAATGGTATGCTCAACACTGATGAATTTCAAAAGCATGATACTGAGTAAAATAAGCCAGACACAAAAGAATAAGTTTGATGTTATTTGAAGCCCCGGAAATGGTAGCAGTTGCTAGTAGCCAGGAGCAGCGGGTATGTCCGCGCAGAGGGGCGTGAGGGAACTTTCCGGGGTGAGAGAATGCTCTGCTGTGAGAGCATGTGATCACCTCGCAGTCCACTAGGTGGAGCGGAACCTCGCAGCTCGGAGAGCATCTGATGGAAAGTGCCTCTCTCCCCAAGCGTTGCCGCGCCCAAAATAAAGCAAAACCTGAAGCTGCCCTCAGCTGCCTGCTCTTCAGGCCCGCGTTCTGGAACAGCAGCTGTCGTAAGCAACAGCTCTGCTCCCGTTAGCACTGAAGTCTGCTCTTCCTTTTAAGGTCAGCCCAGCAGAAAGCAGGAGTATTCCGAATTGTGCTTGGGGGGTGAGGTGACCACTTGGCACAGCTCTTCCCTGAGAACCGTTTCTGTGAACTAAGGCATTTATGTGTTAGGTGAAGCCTTTTTACACGAGCACCGTTCAGGCTTCTCATGGAACACACACACACACACACACACACACACACACACCTGTCCTTTTAGATCCTCTCCTCTGATAGACTGTGTGGTTTTGGGGAGTGATCCCCAAGGGAGGTGCTTCTTCCCTCTGGCTAGATGAACAGATCAGCCAGGCAAGGAAATATTTTTAAAAACATTGCTGTAATTTGTGAAATTTATGTGATGACACAGCATTTTGTTAAAATAAATGAAATAGAACACAAGTACAAATGTCACTAAGTTTCAGTCCAGCAGGAAATGGTTTGAAAACTCTGAAAACAAGTCTGTCTATCCAGTATAAAATTTCGAGGAGCAGAGGGCAATCTGAGCAAAATGACATTCTCCAGCAAGATTCTGTGTAAATGGAGGACCGAGAGTTAGAGCAGGGAACCCCTGCTGAGAAGATAGGACTGCCTCTAACCCTGGTGTGCTGGGAAATGACAGGAGTCGCTGTTCGCCCAGTACGTGGCTTGGGGTGGTGAATTGCGAATATAATCTTGTAATTTTAGTACACTCTTGACCTCCAAGAGGAGATAAATTGTATAGGACCTTTTAACTGTAGCCTTGCATTTCATCTTCCCTTTTTTTTAGGCTTAGAATTACGGGATCTGCAAAGTAAACCTCAAGACGCCACCTGCCTCCCAGCACTGAAGGTCTCGGACATTGAGCCCGCCGTGCCTTTCACTGAGTTGGAAGTGGCCTTAGCAGGTCCGTGTTAATGTTCGTTTCGGGGTGTGGGTTCCTTGGATAAGTCAGACGTCAGTTTCCACAGAAGTAGGGTTGCATTTACATGTTTCCCGTAAAACACTTGCACATCCCTATTTATAACCTGGGTCCGTGTGTCTCTTGGGAATTGTTCTTAACCTTGACGGTGATAGACTTCTTTACCCAGTAAGCACCTGTCTTCTTTTGCTGTGAGTGGACTTGGTGTGGCTCTGAAACTTGCTGCTTCTAGAACCGAATGAGTATTTGGGATTGTGCTGTGGCTGTATTAAACAGGTTTTTAAAGGCTGTAGGCAGACTCCGGACCCTTGTCCAAAGTAACTCAGCCGTCAGTGTGGGAGCGAGGACGTGGGCTGGGACGCCTCACACGGCTGAGGTGTTGGTGGTGAGGTGTAGGTGACGATGTCAAAGGGAGTCGGTGGCTGCTTTTAGCCTGGCGTCTCATCCCTGCGTTTTGTTCTGTAGTCTGTTGTTGCTTGGAAGTTCTCAGAATCGCTTCATTTTACGTTGGCTTTTGATTGGTAGCAGAAGAGACACACGACTCCGGAGCAGCGATACCCCAGAAGTGTTGGTGCTCAGCTTCGGGAGGGTGCGGCTGGCGCTGCCAGTCTGAGCTTGTGCCCCACTTCTATGTGCGTCACTTGGACGGGACTTCGGGAGGGTGCGGCTGGCGCCGCTGCTCTGAGCACGGGCCACACTTGGATGTGCGTCCCTTGATGGGACTTGTGAGTGCAGCTGAGCACTGTACTGCCTCTGAAGCATCTCTAGCGGCCTTTTGTTATTTAACGGTCCTTGTACTGTGTAGTGTGTGTAAGATGTGTGTGTGTGTGCATGTGTATGTGAACATGAGTGAAATGAGAAAATTCTTTTGGAAACTAGGATTAACTCTTTTTTTTT